TATGGGTTGAGCAGGATCTTGGTCCTTGGGGTCCGCTTGTTCTGTAAGTAAATTGTAGCACTGTAACGTATGTGCAATTGTACCATCTTATTCTACAAAATCGTTTTTTTCCTTGGTTTTGGCCCTGACTAATAATCATGTTCATGTCTCATTTTGATTGCTGTCATCATTTTAGTTGTACTATTAGAAGTTAGTCATAGTAACAGACTTCCTACATGTTAAATTTGTTCTCAAAGATGACTTACTGGTGAACAGTAACAGACTGCCTCTGCTTACCTTTCAACTTATATTTCTTTGGGTAACATGCAGGGCTGTTGCATACATTCCACTAACAGTCTTGGCAGTACCAGCTTCAGTACTTACCGTAAGCATTTGTCCGATGTCTTAGCAATTGTTGTTACTCCACTGTAATTATTGTAGAATAATGATCTATCATATAACTTGCCTACTTCATTTAAAATTTTCTTTCACTATTATAGTCTACAACATCAAGCCCATGGTCTGAAGTTCCTTCTTGTTTTGCCTCCCTTCTTCTTTTGTTACACAGAGAAAAATTCAAAAAGAACTTCCTGATTAAATTGCAAGTTTGCACCCTTATGTGATTCCTCATTTAAATATTTCAGCTTGGTGGTGGTTATCTTTTTGGGCTACCTGTGGGCTTTGTTGCCGACTCAATTGGAGCCACTGTAGGTGCAGGGGCCGCCTTCCTTCTTGGCAGAACTGTAAGTTTCTGAGATCTCATTGTATATTTCTTAGTGTTTGAGTTTCTGAAAGAAAAAAATAATAATATCACGAGGGAAGCAGTGAAAGCAGTGAAACAATCTTACCTCTTGGTGTATTAAGTTCTCATATCTGTTCTCCCTCATTCGTATGTAAATATTTTGTTTGTGTCCTTTTGGTCATAATGTGTTCGTATTTTTCATGTTTTTATTTCTTTATCTTATTCATGAATTCCCATACAGATTGGGAGATCATTTGTTGTTTCCAGGTTGAAGGATTATCCTCAGTTCCGGGCAGTTGCAATTGCAATTCGGAGATCTGGATTTAAGGTTTGGGTGATTCATATCTGACCTTATTAATTGAATTGACATTTTTAGCATGCACATTTACTGGTGTTTCCATGTGCTTCGTATCTTATTAATTTACCCCAACTTGTTGTTTTCCAAGTGGTGAACAATGAAACAAGGAAGTAGTGGAATTAGTTAGAGTGTAAAATGACTTTTATCTATAGTAAAAAATACAGATGTTGATATTGCTTATTTAATTTTTTTGCAGATTGTTTTGTTGCTTCGTCTTGTTCCCCTACTCCCATTCAACATGTTAAATTACCTCTTGTCTGTGACTCCTGTTCCAATAGGACAATACATGCTAGCTTCCTGGTTAGGAATGATGGTATTTTCTTCACCCTCCTTGAGACACTACTTTTTTTGTGATTCTATCCCAACATCTTGCTATGCAAGAGAGAGAGATTTAGTTTCATTGGGATGTTAATGTGTTTGATATTGATTCTCTTACAGCCAATAACATTTGCGCTAGTATATGTTGGAACAACTCTCAAGGATCTTTCTGATGTGACCCATGGATGGGGTGAATTTTCAAAGACCCGTTGGGTAAGAGCTATCTCATATTTTTCTGTTTGAAACTGCTTGTAATTATGTGATTTATCCAAATTGATATCACATCAACATGGTTTACTAAGGACCTATGGACCATGTTGTGAGTATCATGTTCCAAAGGTTGTATCATAAGTTCATAACTGTTTGTTATGGACATATAAAGCTCTCAGAGAGCACAATTTATAGATTTTGAATTAGGCTTTGGGAAATGTTCACTCTTTTATATTATCTATGCAGGCTTTTATCGTATTGGGCCTCGCAGTATCTGGTACGTTGCAACATCTCAACAAGCACACACAAGCCTTTTCTTTGGGCCACCTTCTCTTCTTTTCCTTCTTAGTGGGGTGGGAGCATGGGAATTACTATGTTAGACAAAGATGTTTGAGTTCTTACTATCATAACATGATCTCGTTTTTCCAGCTTAAGATACAAATAATGTTATTGAAACAAGGAAGAACGAAATAAGCAGATAGGGAAATATAATTTTTGGACTTTGGCACACTCCTAAGTAGGAAATGTCAGTGTTGTTGTATTGACAGGAGTTGAAAGTCTCTCATGTTCTCCTTAATCTCTCTCCCTTCCCATTAACATGGTCAATGCACAATGTAGCATTTATGAGCTCAGAGCTGTAATTCCCTCCAAAAAATTCAGCTCTCCAACCCACCTTAATCTTTAGCCTCCTCCATCTGCTGGTCATCGGAATCATCATAAGCTCTCTTATAGTTATCAACGTCTTTCTCCACTTTCTTTGCCTCTCCAACCAAAGGCCACCAACCTAAGGTCACCACCCAATCTTCTCCCAAGAAATATAAGAAATCTTCCGCCACTATCCCCAGCCCGAGCTCCTAGTCAAGATTGGTAGTCTCGGTCATTGCATTGTGATGTTTCCAAATCATGCCCCAAAAGACAATAGTAGAGGGACTTTGGCTAGTGATTCTTGTGGTCTTGCATTTGGGTTGGGGGAGATGGTGACTTGAGAAAGTTTGAGACTACCACTATAATGGGGTTGTGAAGTTAATGTAATTGATGAAGGCAGGTATGAGATTGGGTAACAATTTACTTTCATGAAAAGAAGAGGTTTTCTAATTTTTATGATTTTAGTTATGATCTGGATAATGGTATGCTGAGGTTTTCTGATTAGACATGATTTTTGTGTTTTTCTATGAAAGAGGGGGCATAGATTGAAGATTCTAAATTACAAATCTCTGTATGGTTGCTTTATAAGTGGGCAAAGAAAGACGATCATATATTCAAAGTTATTTACTGTGTGAAGGACTATTAACATTAAAAAAAAAAAAATAGAAAGCCTAAAATAAAGGGTTTATCTAGATGGAGGTGGGAGGTGTGGAGGAGCGAGAGAGAGGGAATCATCTCATTCTAGGGGCATTGCCATTTTGCATCTTTTACATGCATGTTACTCATTGATTATTGTTATCAGTTTCCTTGTATGATGCATTGTAATCACATGATTTGTATGTACACCCTCCATGATTTTTGACTAGCCGAGATAACTGAGGAGGCTATATGACAATAAAAAATAAGAAATAAATGAACTCAAAATTTTGAAAGATATTGATGGATTTAAAGTTGAGAAGACATAGGAACTTGAGTCAGAATTCAAGGGTAGTTTCTGATTCCCCGAAAGAAAATTATGGACTAAGTGAAATTGTCAATATTGAAAATGGTGAATAAGAAAGACTTGGTTAAAAATTGCACTTTTAGTTTTTTACTCATCGTAATAGTGATGGTAAATATTATTTTTGTAACATAAGTTTCTGTACCTATATTGAAGTTTTGAAGTAGTCAGTTGTCTTCCTTTTCTTTTTGTTTGGCTTGTTTGCAGTGATTCTAATGATTTGTGTGACAAGAGTTGCCAAGGCTGCTCTGGAAAAAGCTTTGGCTGAAAATGAGGATATTGATATCAATGCTACACCAGAGTTGCCTGTTGTCGCTGAAGCACCTGCGCATCTCAACCAACCTCTCTTAATCAAGATAGACCCGTCTGAAGACAATCATGAAAAGTGAAATCCCTGTTCTTTGTAAATTCTTCTTCTACCTACCTTCTTTCAATGGGGCCATGCCCTATTTAATACTCCAGCATCTGGTACTTTTTATTCATTCCCTGTACAGTTTACCCATATTGTAGATTGTAATTTTGGACAAATGTGGCTTATTTGACCATGAAGATTGTATTATTTGACTGTAGCTTTGTCTTTTCACCTTGAAATAAAAATTAGAAAATCATTGAGATCATTCTTGTGAGTCCTTTGCCTTGAATGGTTGGTTTGATGTAAATTGAACGATTAGTTTATTTACTCCCTAGAGAGTATAGTGAAACGATCCCTGCGCGTAGTCGTAGTTTGCGATTAGCGTAGGGATCCTTAGTCTTTAAAAATATCTGTAGCTCACTATAAGTCAAGTGTGAACAGATGATTATAACAAGAATCATCAGTACTGTAAAGCTTCTTATCAGAAGATCTGCTGTTAACCATATTGTCCTCTTGTAAAGTTTGACAAAATATAACAGGCGACTCCTACCATTAGTTTATAATAAATTTTCTTTCTGCACCAAACGTTACGTGAGAAACAGAAGATTGGATTTGCCCTGATGCTAAAGTAATGTATTTGTTGGATATGACAATGTGAGAGCCACAATGTGGGTCATGGTGGAAAATATTGTGCTGGGTAGATGAGTCTGAAATTTCAATATGTTTGTTTTGACAAGAATGAATGCAGAAGCTCCTGTAACATATTTTAGGCTTTGTGATGTACCAGCACAAACACCACCCCACCACCCCACTCAAAAAGCCATGTGAGAAAGTCCTAATCTTCTTGTGGTCCAAATTACCAGGGATTTTATATGCTTATAGAAATGGGAGCAGTTTTGGGAGGGAAAAGGTGTCTACTGAACAGGAGTAAATCAAAAGTAAGTAGTTGCTGCTATGACCAAATGGGAAGCAACATCATATACATGAGACCTCATTATTAAGCTTTGTATGTGTGGGCACACTTCACTTTATCTCTTTCTCCCTCTCCAAACAAAGAAAAAGCGGTCTTCAGCATTTTCATTAATTTATTTTGTCTCCATATCCCAACTTTCCCACTGTCTTGTGTTGAATTTTGGGCCCTTGGGAGACCCACCAGTTCCTTAATGGAAGGGGTAACAATATTCTATCATGTTAAATCTTTCTATGGTACAATTCATACAATTACTCCATGCATCAGCTATATAGTGTCACACAATCACAACTGCCGAAAGTGATGACTGCCCTCTTGGTTAGGTCAGAGCTCAAGTAATCACAGCCATCCATTCATGAATATCAGAAAGTATCATGAATTGACTTAATGGGGCTATAGCCCCATGTAGGTTATATATGGATTACAAATGTCAAATATATGAGTGAAGTGAATCTTCTGCAACACAAAAAAAATGCATGTTGTCTTTAAATCCAGGGTGACCAAACACTTGAAGGCCCTCAAAGCAAAGATGCCCAGATTTGGCATTTTCCCAACGGGGGGTTGTTTTGATGGATGCAGGGATCATACTCAACAAGCCTCAGGTTTTGGGACAAGGATCTGGAACCTGTGTGACAAGCCTCTGGAGCTGCAAATAAGAGTTGGTTCTATACTGAAAAAAGTTCACACAATAAAACCAGGCTCTTCAAAGAGGCTGAAATGCAAGAGCATATACAAAGCCTATATGCCTGGAGGTGGTGAGATTGGGAGTGGTGGCATGAAGAGCTTGCTCTATTACTATGATGAGACTTGCCACCCTTATGTTTGGATTCATGACACTGGTGGTGGTGACACATTGAGAATGGTCAAGCAGCAATATATTAGCCTTGAGGACCTCAGAGACTATTGTGAGATCAGAATCTTTAGGGATCATCAAAGAGGCTGCATATCGGTTCGCAAGAAACCCAGGCCAGATTTTTGCTGATGAGATTTTATTCTGTTTGTAAGTTTGTATGTAATGTGTGGTGATGACATTACTAAAGCATGTTTTCATCCCTCTTTGGTTTTGTTTGTTTTTTGTTTCTATCATTGTGTGTTTTTTAAGATTTCAGAAGGTAACATTGTAGTATTATATACTGAATGAAATTGTTGCATCTGTTGGATAAATATGGTTTTATCAATGTGATGTTTGGCCGTCAAGAAAAATAAATAAATAAACAAATGCAGAAAGAGACCTTGCAGTGTTTGCGGAAGCAGACCTTTGTCTTGTAATTTTTGCTGTGGAAGATGACTATATAATTTCTGTTTATCAACAGCTGCCAGCCACAGACTTTTCTTCTTGTTGAATTCAACTATTCAAGAAGGGTTGCTGCCGGCATCGAGCCAATTGGTTAACCTATTGGTTTTGTGTTTTCAAAATTGATTTGTTGTTGGGTTCTTTTTGTGGTAGAAGTCAAAATGAAATCGTTGAAACAAAGGCTTCAATTCTTAGCTGATTAACAATGGTGTTGTGTCCGTGTTCAGATATTCAGATCATGTCATTCTAGGTTCATATCAGCCACATGGTCCACAGAGCAAACAAGATTATGTCATTCTACAAGGATTTGTACAATTTGAAGATCAAGAAATAAAACAAAGGAAAAAGATAAAAGTAAACATTTCTGTATACAAACAACACCATTGACTTCTACTCAATGGTTATAAGTTGCCTTCTCATGCTTGTGTTTGGTACTAAGAAACTAATAACCATTGAGTTAAAAATTAGGGTCAATTGACAAGAACATAGCCTCTTTTTAAGGTAACGCTTGGTTAAATTATATTACGAAAGAGTATCGTATTAACAAACTTAAGACCTTGGGTGAGGTAACTGCTCTTAACCACTTGAGCTACATGCCCCTTACAATAAAAATTAGGGCTTTACGCAAGGGGCTTGTAGCTCAGTTAGTTAAGAGTATTTATTCATACACCCGAAGTCCTAAGTTCAATACCCCCTTCCCCAAAATCGCTGGTATAAAAATACATTAAGGTTTTACACCCAAGTTAATTTTCTAATAAAATAAAAAGGCCTAGTCCACAAATGGCGGTGATGGACACAACCTTTTATGCCTAGTAGACCGGGCCCTTCCTAAACTAGAGGCCCATTATTATTATTTTTCATTCTTTGTAAAGTGCCAGGCTTGAACATGTGGATAAATCCATGATCATCTTTATTATATTAGTGTAGAAAACTTGAACTCAAAGAAGCTTCTATGTTGTCTGACCAGGCCAGAGAAGCATTTCCAAATTCTTTTACTTATGTTAAACTTATCCCTTCAAAAAGCCATAAAAAAATGAACCCCTTCCAAAAAAACTATTGATTCAACCCTAAGAAAAGTAAGAATTGAATCACTATTTGATTACAAGTTTCATTCAAATAGATGAAATTGAGATATAAAATTATTTATAAAAAAATATGAGTAAGAAATGTTGAATTATAGACCAATGAATCAAATATTTGATTACAAGTTTCATTCAAATAGATGAAACTGAGATTAGGATAAGAAATAAAAAAGGTCAGAGATGTTGAATTACAAACCAAAAATAAATCGCAACTAATACCTTTACTTGCGAGAAGTTTTATTTTTATTTTTATAAAAAAAATTTATTTTACAATTAAAAAAGATAATGGGTAGTTGTGTTCCATAAAAATATGATCAATTTTCTTAATTTTCTTTTAATTTTAATTTTTTTAAATATGAAAACACATTAATTTATCATATTATTCTCATTTAATTAATAATTTCAAAAATTAATGTTTGCATTAACTAATCGCATTTTCTAGTATTTTAAATATTTTCTGCCTTTTGTTTTATGTATACTGAAGATATAACCCCGCGGAATTTCCAATCGTATCAAAATAGTGTCTGTCCGCGGAGTTTCTAATCGGCGCAAAATGCGTCTGTCGTTTTATACACAAATTGACTCTTCACGCGAACAAAACGCGATCTCGTTTCTTCTTTCTGCTACAGTCTTCTTCTACAGTAGCACGGTCCACAGTCCAAGTCTCCCAAAACCCATTTTTGTTTTCTTCATCTCAATCAAAGTTTTCGCCTTCTTCCCCAACCCATTTCTCAAAAATGGGGATTTCATGGAGTAGCAACCGAAGAAGAAACAGCTATTATCAGAACCCACCTCCACAACTACCACCTCAACCCCAATACATCGCAAGTTCTCATCGCTATTACTCCTCAGACCATCCCTCTCTCTCTCCTCCTCCACCACCTCCTCCTCCTCCTCCTCCACCACCACCACCACCACCGCCACCTCCACCTCCACCTCCACCACCACCTGGTCCTCTGCTTACTTCTTCATCTTCTTCTTCATTTTCTTTTTCTGCAAATAATAGTAATTACCCATATGTCAATACCGCCACCCCTTACGCTCAACAACCCAGAGGTCCTTATCCCGCCTACCCTCTTCCTCTTACACCTCCTCCTCCTCCACCTCAAACCCATTACTGCTATGGCCACTACAGTTCATGCAACCATGCCAATTCCTCCATGGGTCGCTTCAGTTACAATTACAATTACCAGCCTTATTATGCTGCCAATCAGGCTAATGGGTGGCCCGCAATTCGGCCTCCCGTGGGCCCCGTGCCGCCTCCTCCGCCTCACGTTGAGCATCAGAACGCCAAGAAGGTGAAGAACGATGTCAACGTGCATAAGGACACATTGAGGCTTGAGATAGATGAGCTGAACCCTGATCAACATTTGGTTTCTTTCGTTTTCGATGCCATGTATGATGGGAGGTAAGCAAATTGAGGTCTTCTTCCACTTATTGAATTATTGAATTGTTCCATATTCTTGAGGCTTGTGATGATTTGAGTGCCTATGAGTGTTTTGATTTATTTGGGTTTTGGATCTCAAAGCTATCAGCTTTTCGGACCTGAGAATACGAAAGGTTCATCCCAGTTTGGGTTAGCTGAGATGGAGTTTCCCTAGCAATTAATTAGAGAGAGGGTATTCATACTAAGTAAGGAAGATGAGAGATGGAAGAAGAGAAATGTAATGCATTACTGCAATTTTATTGATTAGCAAAGTATTTGGAATTATCATAAGAAGTGGGACATACGAAATGATTGTTACTTAATGTTCATATTTGAGTCTTTGGACGATGTAATTGCTGACGGGAGGCCTTAAAACACATGAAGCCCACGAATTTCGCTTTTTCATGTGTTTTCTCTGTTGGTTGGATGACAGTAGTAGACATGACCATTACAAGGAAATTAGCTACATCTGTCTAAGGTTCCTTTTTAGAATGGTGAATCAATGCTTCAAAGTTCAAACAAGTTCACATTAGTATTGGTTGTCATTTGTTTCTTTGAAGTGAATTCTTTTTCCAGAAATTTTAGCTCTACAATAGATGCTATAGGTTTTTCTCTATCTTAAGAAGGTATGGGTGCCCCTTCTCTTCCATTGGAAGGTTCCCTGTCATATATAAGGTCTTACATTTTCTTGGTTTTGTTTGTTAAACAGCTCTTAAGAGGAAGTAGAGATTTTCTTCACAAAAAATAAGAGGAAGTAAAGATTTCTTCACAAAAAAAGAGGAAGTAGAGATTGGAGGGGATAGGTTTGACTGTAATCAAGTGTTTGGGCTAACTTTTCCATCAATGTTTTCCAGATTTCTGTTATTTATCTTGAACTCTCGATATTAAGAGGTCATGCTGGCATTACCGTTTATAAATTTTATCTGTTTCTATATAAAAGAGGGTTATGCTTGCACTACGAACTTTCGCACATTTCAAAAGATTTTGTGATCTAATAATTATATACCTATAAGCATTAACCAAAGTAAGATGCAGTTAATGTTATGTTGTTTTCATAAAGTATTTCGTAGGTTTGAAGACAGCACTACGTAAAGTACAGCTTTTATCTTTATAATTGAGTCTATATGTTCTTGTGCTTTCATTTTAAGTTTTGTATCAAAAATTTGTGGAAGGCAATTTTTTAAAGATAACTCTTTACAATTGGTGTCCACACTATCTGTGGTCCCAATGGGCTTATTTCCTTGCCTCTTTTATAGACCTTGTTTTATATCTAGAGGTTAATAATATCAACTGATATGCAAGCAGTGTTACCATCTAAAAGTAGCGTTATATAAAAATTGGTGTTTTGATTGCTGCATATTATTGCTGAGCAACTGTCTATAGCCAGTCAGCAAAGTTATGCATGTATGTAGCACGCACCCTATGTATACGCCATATATAGCTTAAATAAGTGTTTCCACTTATATCACATGCTTATTGGCCAGTCATGGTTCTCTAACAGTAAAGACCATGGCTAGTAGTCCTTCATGGTTATATGTAATGATTTCCATTTTCTTGCGCAGAGGCTGTTGTTTCTTTTTTGTTCCTAATTATCAGTGCTTTGGTGATCTTCATTTCTTATGGGGTATATCATGTTCTGTTTATCTGATCATGTCTTCTTATTGACAGCATTACAGTGTTCTACTTTGCCAAGGAAGAGCCAGACTGTAGATTTGATCCACTATTCCCTGAAGCATTTGTGCCAGTGAGAGTCCCCTTTCAGAAGGGTTCCGGGCAAAAATTTCGTCAGCCCTCAGGAACAGGCATTGATTTAGGTTTCTTTGAGTTGGATGATCTTTCAAAACCATCACCTGGAGAAGATGTATTTCCGCTTGTAATATCTGCTGAAACATTTCCACCTCATTCAACAGATGAGCATATTGTTGAGCCTACCCCAGATACATCCCCTCGTATGCAGATTACTCAAGCTGTACTAGAAAAGAACAATGGTGACCATTTCCAAGTGAGAGTAATTAGGCAGATACTGTGGATTGATGAAGTTCGTTATGAGCTACGTGAGATATATGGAATAGCAAGCTCGACAGTGGAAGGCTTTGATGACAATGACCCGGGGAAGGAGTGTGTGATATGCATGACTGAACCTAAGGACACTGCTGTGCTACCTTGTCGACATATGGTGAGACTTTGTCTAAGATTAGATAATTATATTGAGAGAGAGCTAATTACCATAGATTATGCTGGTGAATCTGCACTAGTACCATATGGTAGAAATGCTGTTAAGAATAATGATCAGGAAGGCTCAAGCACATTGTGCTCGAGCATGTGTCTTGTGAATGAACTCATCGCGGCACAT